GTTAAGGCGTAATGTACAGCATAAAATTTGCAGTTTAGCACAACATACACGCTTTGTAAAAGTCTATAATAATCTAAATTAAATAAAATTTACTTAAAACTATGTAAAAGTCTACGTTTTTAATATTGTTTATAAAAAAGTCCTGGAAAGAAACAATCAGCTTCTTGGCCATTAGAAGAGGGAGAGAGGAACAGATAAACCGAAGTGTGAAAATATAATTGATGAATCAAACGCTGGAGAGATCAGAGAAATTCGAAAAATAATCACTAGAAATAAACTTACAGTGGCTGTAACCTTAGAGATTCAATTTTTGAATTGCCAATGTGAGAAAATTGAAACGCTCAAGGGTGGACCCGACGTTGAAGGACGGCCATTCAGCCAGATTACATTCACAGGCATGAATTACAGTGTCAATATTTATTCATAGTTGTATTTTGTTTGTTTGATTTTTGCAAGGATTTGTAACAAGAAACAATTTTGTTTCTCCAGCTTTGATCAACCAGGGCCAAGCTGACAAAACATAGTAAACCCGATTTATCGACCTTAAATAAAAAGTAACGAGTGAATTTTGATATTTAGTCTTATGATTATTATTTTCCTCTGAGTCAAGGTCATTTTGAATACATTGTTGATTTTTCGAGCACCATATAATAAATGTTTTCCCTGTTAGATTTTTGTTGTTTGTCATTTCTTTTCTGATTAAGCTACACAAACGTTTGCTTAAAAAAATTCGAAAATTGTTCCCGAAAGGAAGTGAGCTCACAACCCACTTTTCCAAGAGTCAAAAGCAGTACCAATTACCCAATTTAGCCAAAGGCCGGAGATTGCGCTCAATCTAGGACCTGGGCAAAACGCCGCTTGAATTTTTTACTCCCGAGAATATAATTTTATTGGAAATTTGTCTTGACAGAAGGGAGAAGAACCATGTTGTCGCTTGTTAAGCAATGATACCAATTAGAAAGAGCAGATGACAAACACTGACGTCGAGGAGTTAGGGGGAAAGAATTTTTTAACGGAGAATGTAATTATACCATAGGGCCTCCACCCAGTTCCTCGAGTCCTTCAGTGACACAATATTAAAGACAAATAGCAATAAATTTTTATACAAGAGTTAAATTGTATTATCGAATTTAATTTTTAACTTATGAAAATCAATATATGCAATATCACTAACACACTCTTATACAACACGGTACATGGTACATCAAATATACAAGACGTGCTTTTGAACTTTTGAATAATTCATGATGCCACACTTAAATATACTTATAAATAAATGAGTATTGATATAAACTAGGTAATACTTTTAATAATAATTTAATTTCTTCATTGTATAAACATAATTATGCCTCCCAGATAGTACAGTAAAATGGCTTAATGCTGAGCAAACAGCGAGAATAGGCGGACTGAAATTTTAATTAATGTGTCTGAAACCTTTAGAAGAACGTTGGAGGGTGGTTAGGGTTTAGCAAATGGAAATATTCTGTGAGATCTATCCAAAAACAGCGAGAATAGGCGAACCGGAAATATTGAAAGAGGTCGAAAACTGGAATATTTATGGATGGTCAGGGCGAAGAGGAAGAGCGAAAGAATCTAAAATTATCTTCTGAATAATAGCGATAATAAGAGGGCCGGGAAAATAGAAAAACGCCACTACCTCAAAAATGCGTGGTTGGGTAGGGCAAGGTGGCAAAGGGAAAGCAGATAGGATAAGATTTGACTAGTGATAGTGGGAATAGGCAGATCAAAAATGTCCTTAGCCACGAAAATGTAAAAAATACTGAAAAAACTCTTAATCATGAATATGATGGGTGGGCTAAGAGGCAAAGAGAAAAAGTCTAAGATTATGATGTGACTAAAAACAGCGAGAATAGCGAACCAGAAATGTCCTCAACGCTGCTAATTGGGGATGATCAGGATAAATAAAAGCGGGAGGATTTAAGATCACGATCTGACCAAAAATAGCGAAAATATTCGAACCACAAATACTGAAAAAGGTCTCGGGACATTTATGTATAGTCAGAGCTAGTGCCGAAGGGAAAAAAAGCTTTGATGCTGATTTAACGAAAACAGCGAGAATAGGGGGATTAGAAATTTTAAATAATTAGTCTATGAAATATAAAAAGAAAAACGAGAATAGGCGGATCGGAAATATTTAAAAATTCCTCAATCTTAAAAATTTAGGGATGGTCAGCACATAGTGGCAAAGGGAAAGAATCTAAGATCTTACTAAAACAGCGAAAATCGGCGGACCCGAAATATTGAACAAGATCTCCATTATGTAGGGATGAGTAGCGTTATGCGGCAAGTGGGAGAGAAGTTAAGTGGAAATTTAGACGAAAAACATTGAGAATAAAGACAAAATTGGAGGGAGGTTTGGGCAAGGTGGCCAAGGGAAAGATACAGATCTCACTAAAAAACAACGACCGGAAAAATTGAACAAATTCTCAATGTCGAATAAGCGGGGACGGGTAGGGCTAATGTGGCAAAAGGGAAAGAATATATTATTACGATCTGACCAAAACCAGGAAGAATAGGTGGGCAGGAAATTTTAAAAAAAGTTTCTAATAACGGTAAGAAAAACTGAATATTACGTTGCCAAGAGGATGAATCTAAGATTACGATCTGACCAAAACAGCGAGAATAGGTGGTCGACAAATGTCTTCAATTTCGAAAATGTATCAATGTTTAGGGCAAGGAAAGACTACGATTGCGATCTGTCCATAAAACAACGAGGATAGGAGGACCGGAAATATCGACCAATGAGAAAGAATCTAACATTATGAATAGAAATGAATAGAAGAAATACAGCCGGTTGGTCAGGGCGAAGTGGTGAAGGAAAGAATCTAAGAATATGGATCTGACCAAAAACAGCAAGAATAGGCGGACCGAAAAAATTGAAAAAGGATTCAATCTCGTATATATAGGGATGGGATGGGTGGTGTATGTGGCAAAGGCGAAAGAATTTAAGATTACGATCTGACCAAAATACCAACAAATGTCATCAGTGTCGATAATTTGCGGTTGGTTAAAAGAAATTGGGCAAAGGGAAAGAATCTAAGATTACGATCTGAGTAAAAGCAGCGAGAAAAGCGAGACCTGAAATATTGAAAAATGTCTGAACCTCGAACATTTATGGATGGTCAAGGCAAATTGAAAAATGGGTAAAAGTGGTAAACTAAGTGTCTAATGAATGTAAGAAAAATTGAGTGCAAAGTGGCCGAAAGGATGAATCTAAGATTACGATCTGACCAAAAACAGCGAGAATGGGCGGACCGGAAATAAATTATACTAAATAAAATCGCATCTGTTCAAAGACTCTAAAATATTGTATTACAAATAAGTTTATTAAATGTATTATTTCGTGTTTTACACTGACGGTTATATAAAAACGGCAGAGCTATGACGGATCTTATTAAATACAGCAAGTACAGGCAAACAAGTTTTTTTTTTTTTTAAATTTTCTATAAATGGTGAAGGAAACGAGAATATACAGTTTGCATTTAAAATTGAAATTCTTCTGAGAATCCTAACGAGTAGGACGGCCTATCAGGAACTTAACATAAGCTTGATATGTGGCAAATAATCTATTTTGCTTTTATTATAAATGATGAATGTCAATAGAAACTAATAACTAAACTCTGACCAAGTATAGCGAGGCTAGGCGTATTAAAAATAATAAAACTTGCAGATTCTTAAACCATTCGCAAAACAAGGAAAAATCCATTGATTCCATGGAAACAAAACTTAAGGGATTTTATTAAAGATTGATCATAAAATGTTTGGGATCTTCTTCACTGTTAATTCATAAATCTGACAATTTATTAATAATAAATCTTTCTAAATAACACTCAATTAACTTCTGTAAAAAAAATAGAGATTACGGCACTGGACAAACCAAAAACAGCGAGAAGAGACGGACTAGAAAAACTATAAGAATTTTACAAATATTCAAAACAGTTCATTAATTCGACTATAAAATATTAAACAATTTATGTGTCACATTTCAATTTATTTCATAGTGACAATGTTGTGATTTAGACTGACTAACTGTATATTCTCATGTTACGCCTAGAAGAATAAATAAAAGAGGACAATGAGGGTAGAGACACTCGAGCCTGGAAGTGAACAAGTCCGTGTAGATGAGAGACAAAAAGAAGTGTGCGATCCTGAAAAGAATTCAGAAGAAGAAGAAGAAGAATCCAAGAAAGTTCAAAAGTCCAAGAAAGAAGAAGATTCCCTAAGAGTGCTTCGGTACAAGCGGATTGGCTGTAAACAGTGAGTACCCATCCACAATTGTTCCAAACGGTCTGGCAAACGGTTTGCATGAGATTACTGTTTATTTAAATTTAAAAAGTTTTAATTGTTTGTTTACAATTTAAAATGGAAATTTATTGATTTCAATTGTTTGTTTCTTGTGTGATTAATAAATTGTTTTCAAACCCAAGACCTCTGGGGCTCTGTTTTTAGTAAAAAGGATTCAGAGTTGGGCCCGTCTTGTTGAATCAAAACAGACCGTGAAAGAGATAAATAAAAATTTAATCGATTTTCCCCCACGTATGATGGTCAAATGCCATATATTTCTTTTTCAGGACAAAAAGGCGGACAAGTCTAATAAAAGTGATACTGGTGAAAGCGGTTCAGAATTTCACTTATTTCTCTAAAAAGAATCTAGCAGTGCCATGTTGTAAAGGTGTCCTTTATCGTTAAAAAATTCATATTCGTTTTTTCGTCCTTCTGCAACAGTTGTTGAAACGTGCTGGAAATTCAAACACCCCTTAATGTTGTTTGTTGACCAAAGGCTGGAATAAATGTTGAAAAATCTTTTAGACAAGTAGTTTAAAAAAAACCATTGTCTGCAGGATTTAAAAATTAAAAACTCGACCTTCCTTGCCTTTGATTTACAAATGAGAAAATTAGCCTGTATTTGTTTTTTTTTGTTTAATTTACGTTAAGAGGTTTGAAAAAATAAAACTTGTAAATTTAAACTAAAGCCTTTATTAAAAATTAGGTTTTCCAAATGTATCACTTTTCTTCAATTTCTTTGATTTTTTCTTTAGGTATTTTTCCAGTTTCCCTTTCGATTTGAGCTCTTCGAATTTGTCAACGAGATCTGAGATTTGTTTCTCGGCTTTGTTTCTGAACCGGGCCGGCTTGCCTTCTTTCAAGGCCTGCTTGACTTTCTGCGATTGTTCGAATTCTTTCTGCTTTTTCTTTTCGATCCTTTCCTTTTCCAAAGCCCGGTCCTTGTACTTTTTGAGGAGGGACCGGATCTGCTCTTTCCTCTCGGCGTCTTTCTCGACCCTCAGCTGGCTTTTGAGAGCCTGCTCTTCTTTCTGTTTGACGTCCTTGAGGAAGGAGTAGGACTCTTTGAAATCCGCCTGGTTGAATTCTCCGCAGAGGCTGTCGAACCTAGGATCCCGCCCTTTCGGAGGCGCGATCTTCGACGCGAAACTCCTCCTTAGTCTTATTTTGGAAGACTCTTCCCTCGGCTTTTTCTTATTCGCCTTTCTGGCCGTAAACGGCCCGGCCTCCGCGGGTTTCTTCCATTTTTTCGTTTTTGCGCAAGTTCGAAGTCTCTCTTCGAAACTCAAATTTTCATCGCCTACCCTCGACATGACTTCTGGAACAAACACGATGTCAATATTAATTTCTCATGTGCCACCCCTTATTTTTATTTTTAAAAAAAATCAAAGTTTATTAATCACTAAACGAAAAAATATTCGATAGGAAGTAGAACACAGTGGAAACTTCTGCTTGGTCTGCAATTCGTTTAACGATGATTTCTCAATTTTACAACTGATAAATACATTTTAAACAACCCGAACTTTATCGTATAATAAGCCGAAACAAAATTAAAACGATAAATAACGAATGAGTTTGCTAAATAAAATATTCAAATAACAAGACCACAAAAATTATACCTAAAAAATGGAAAAAGGACAATGATGGAAGTCGATACTGACCCAACAACCGATTGATATGTTTTATATAAAAAAAAACCCGTTGCCGATTATATTCTTCTGGATGGCTTGTTTTGATAAACACGATGAATATGAAACTTGTGACCTTTTGTCCTGGAATTTTTTATAATATATTTTATTTTGTAGCAAAACTCGAATCACTAAATACCAAAATGATATACAAGTTGTAAAAATATTTAAAATTAAATATAATATCGTAACTTGTTAAAAGTCAAAAACTGCTCCTATTCAGCCGAATATCTTATTTTCGATTGTCCCATGCAAAGCAAATAAATGGAAATTTAATATTGTTTTCATTTGTACCAAGTATGTGCGCGCGTGTCCCTTCAATGTAAACATTAACTTTTAATTTTTATTTCAATATTAAGTACTTTATACCATATTTTTGAGAAAACCGAGAGAGTGAGAGTGAGACAGAGAGGAAAGAGAGAGAGAGGGGGGAGCGTGAGGACCGAACGAACACAGAAAGTGAGAGAGAGAGAGAGAGAGAGAGAGAGAGAGAGAGAGAGAGAGAGAGAGCTAGAGAGCTAGAGAGCTGAAGTAAAAGAAGAAAGAAATGAAGATATTGTAGATAGATAGAGGGGTGATAGCTCATTTCCCTTATTTACATATTTATTTTAATTACTTTTTCATCCGTTTACAATAAATATAAATATAAACTTATGCACTTTGCAATAAGAAAACGACGTGCTATTAAATAAATAAAAGGAACGCAATAAATAATAAAATATAAAATTAATTTCACGATCAGTTTATGTTTATCTAGTACGTGAGTCTGTAAATATAAAACATCGATTCTTTGGAATAAATGTTAAACTGCGATTTCATCTTTGTAGAAAAGTACAAAGTAGTTATGATAAAAAGTCAATGGACTGGCAACCGATCAAACTGGGCTTTCATAAACACAGTAAAACTAATATCATAGCACACGCTTCAAATAATGAAAACTACAAGACATTCGGTATCCAAATAGAAAATTCGAGTGCCCTAAAACAAAGAGAAGAAAGGGATGGAAACCATATTAAGAATTAATAGAGGAACAGGTTTCAGACTTACCTCGGGCTATGATTCCTCTAAATCCTTTAATCTTGGCACTGTGGGACACCCTCCTTGGGGGAACCCTACAGTAAGAAAAACGGAAAAATGTTTTTACATCCAGGATTATACTGGGATATTTTTTTTGTGTAATAGTATAAACAATTTGCCATGTTCGTATGTAAAATACTGTTTAAAAAGCAAACTTTTCCTTCAGATTTAAAAGACCGATTAAGGATAAAACTTTTCCTTGTAGCTTCTTTCAGGAAAAAATTGAGTTAAAATTACACACGTGGGAGAAGTTTGTGATTCACGGTTAAACCCACGGGGTGTAAAATTGATATTTTTTTTCATGAGCATGGAGTGGGCGAAGTGGCACAATTCCTGCTTAGATCGAACTGTAATTCTGTCGGATCTGATACGAATCCAGCGGCATTAGAGCAGCGGCGACAGCCGATTAGGCTCATAACGAAAGACGAGAGAGGGCCCAATTGTGAAACTGGGTTGAAGCGTATATCTAAGCCCAGCCGGCAGAGTCTATCTGCGAAACCAATCTAACATCCCCGCTGCTGTCAAATGCAGACAGAAGCTTGTTTCAACAATGCCCCACCGGCTCTCACGTCGGGTCAGAGAGATATGCAGACCGTGTTCCTATTTGTTTTCAGTTTTCACATTCCCCCCAACCAGCCATAAATTGCATCAGAACCGGCAATTTATTCGACATTTGGCTCCTACCAACGCACAAAACAACTAATTCCTAAAAAAAGATAAAAATATACACCGTATACCTATTAACTTAATAACCTATCTAGCTTCGAGTAGCAACTCGCTAAGTCAACGCGTCAAAACGCTATTAATACTTTTTTTTTATCATGTATCCTGTATATAATAACGTGCATGCTTTTTCCAGGTCACAACACTGACACTATGGCCAGCGTGTACCCGAAGGACACTTGTTATGAGAAACCCAACCAATTAAGGGGCGAGGAGGTTTCGAGGCCATCGTCGATTAAGGCGATGTGGAAAGCTCTCTGGATGGGAAAGTGAGTGGGCTTGGACAGAAGGACTAGGATGGATCAAGAGCTTGGTGTAGAACTTTTGGAATCGGATTAGTTCGTTAGTAAAAGGATTGTTGAGGTCGTTGCGTCAGGTTATTGATGTAGTAGGAGCGTTGGTAATTTGAAGACGGGATCCCGCTCGTACCATTGACTTTTTTATCTCAACTGAAAACCTTAATTAATTGTAAGATATTAATTGGTCAAGCGGACCACGAAACTAGTGAATTTAATAAGTTTAAAATGAAGTATACTTCACTAAAGCTCTCCGTGGCCATTTCATTTGTCGCCGAGAATCAAATTGATTACACGACATTTGAAAAATGGCAAAAAGGAGGGAAAATTCAAAAGGTGTGGTTGAGATGGGCGGTTGGTGTCCGAGTAGATCGAGATCACGATAGCTCAAGTGGTAGAGCAGCGGCGTATCAAGCCGAAGATCGTGAGTTCGAATCCCGCTCGTGCCACTGACTTTTTAAAAAGGTAGTTCCTCATCGCAGTAAGTTGTTTTCGACCATTTCGAGCGTAAAGCTCATCATAAAGTTGTAGAGCTCCTTCAATCTGATGATGAGCTGTAGGCTCGAAATCAGGATCATTGAAAACAACCTACTGTGATTAGGAACTATCTTTTTAAAAATATTTTTTCATTCAGTTTTATGTTCAAATTTTTCCATCAGTTTTTGATAAACGCCAAGTTGTTCTTGGATGTAGGAGGTTGTTTGGATAGGATTCACGAAAAAAGGTAAACAGGATGAGACCAAGATTGTTCCCTTGTGGGACGCCAGACTGTAACTCTTTCAGTTAATAGAGTTATAATAATATTATATAAACACATATTATACGCTACAAAGAAAGTTAACTACACGATTTTTTTAGTAAGTGTGCGTGTTGTCCATATGACTTTTATGTCAGTAGATGGATAGATAGAGATAGATTTATGTCAGTCACTGTCTAAGAAAGTGGTTGCGTGCTGTTCAAAAAAAAGTATAATGATCGACCGATCGATTATCGCGAGATTACTAGGAGACTTAGTTAAACCTGATAATAAATTTCACGATAAACAAAGGACATTAGGTAAGTCAAAGCGTTATCACTACGTTAAATTGGAAAAAGCTTGAAGAAACTAGGTACAAATCTTCAGACGGTTTTAAACTGTGAGGAACGTCTTTGTTGTTTTGGTGTACATATTTCCAAATCGTAAACTTTTTAATATATTAAAGAATAAGCTACGCTCTAATAGCAGTATTAGTGTATTTATTTATAGCAATTTGTACAAAAACATACAATGAGCAATTAATGTAAATATATACAAATCTGGCAGATCTGTCAGACCATGAGGTTGTAGGGAGCGTGTTTATTGATCAGCTAGTGCTGGAACTCTTGTTATTTTATTGGGATTAGGTTTGAGTAAGTACAGGAGGTCATGACCAGCGTGGAGGATCGTAATAATGGGACGTTGAGGAAATATCTTGGTAAAGTGGTTTCGCGTGGAGGGATAGCGTAGTGAAAATTTGGAAACGTAGTCTGATTAGATATTGAACAAATAGGACGACTTGCCTTTGAGAATTAAATTTGTGACTTAGAGTGAGTATTGAGGATGAGGCCCTGATGACCTAGCCCACAGCTCGATTTCGTAAATGTTTATGTCACGGTTATGTAGTTTTTTAGTTCTTAGTGTTATGTACGCCTACTGAAAATTTCGGTCGAAGTAGGCATCTGATTTGTCTTTTTAGTTTACTATACCGGTGCTATGTGTCTGCTACCAACGTAAAGCCCAAGGTGAACGTCACGACTGAGCTTTTTTGCTGGTTCAACTTGATCAGCCATCGAGTACGCCAGCGTTAATGAAGGTCTAAGTGTTGTGGATTGCTTTTTTTGGATAGGTTTGATTTGTATTGGAATTTGTGAGTATGTCAACAGTGTAAATTATGTAGAGTGTTGGTGTTAGGATTCTTCCTTGCGGAACACCAGCTTTGGTAGGCATGCCGCCGGATTTAAGAAGAGTTCTCGAACACGGTAGCGAGTTTCTAAGTCCCCTGTTCGGCTTTTTAGGGGAATTGGGAATTTATTATTGTATATAGCCTTCAAAATATGCGTTTTGTGTTTCTGTGTGTTGTATGAGTGAATATATTTTGATTGGTCTGAATGGGGAGGGGCTGATGGCGAAGTAGCTTCTCAATCGCCTCTCAGGTTGTAAGACTTGGGCCGATGGAGGAAATTTTATAAAAATACCACATCGACTCCAATCTAGATTAGTTTATTATAGGGAATAGGTAGGTGGAGGAATATCGAGTACTCCATCTACCAAACAGTATGAGTGCGATCAATGTATATAGGTATGAATGTATTTATTGGTGTGAATGTGTATCGAGTGTGGAGCGGTATTATGACCATGCTTCGGGTCTGAAATGACCAAGCTGTCGCGAATGCCCCTATCAAAAAAAAAAATGATTAGCCTAATGCTCGAAAAATCTAAGCTGATTCTCACTTCAAACTTGCGATACGAAAGGAAGAAATTAAGAACGAGGGGATATTTTTTAATTTGAAAATAGGTGAAGTAGCAAACATAATTAATTATATTAGTAAATCCTTTGTGCGAATTAAATCAAATGCAAATATAGTAATGTATATAGGAGGTTTTGTTTTACAAATAATAATTATTTTCTGGCGTCTTAATACCCCCCTTCCAAAAATCTAAGAAAAGCTTCAACTACAGGATACAAGAGGGAAGGAAATAAGGGTTTTTCGGCTTTTCCTTCCCTCCTGACCACAGAACATTAATAATTCCTTTAAAAATGATCATATAAAACCATCTATTAGTCGTAAAAACAAAATCAGTGAATTATCCAATTGTTGGCTAATTAATCAACATTGTACTACGTAAAATAAGATGTAATAATTAAAACACTGTCCTTACAACAGACCGAAAAAAGGGAAATCTTATTTTAAAATAAAGTAGTAAATAACATCATGAAAAGAAATACTTGAACAATATTTATTGACTAAACAAATCAAATCGGTCGATTAATAATTCATAAAGATTATCCTTTTAACTATTTTCAACAGTACTGAACTAAAAGAAATTCATTTAAAGTATAGAAGAGAAGTAGTGATCGTTTATTTTAAAAACTGTCATTTAGGCAAGAGATTCAATTTTCAAGCTTGTCTGTCTGAATCTATTATTTATAAGTTGAAGGTTTATAAACAAAACAAACGGCCAACTTATACATATTTATATAGATACCCAAAGTTACCCGGAGGTAGATATTTGCACACACCCTAGGGGTGTGAAAGTTAATTTTGAAAACTGACATTATTATCTGTTAAATACTATGCCATATTGTTTTGATCGACGTGTGAAAGAAATTAGCCGTTTTAAATATTTATGTGTTATAACTGAGAAGCTTTCAGCTCTCGAGGGGAATTAGTACTAATTCTAATGGGAAACACAGAACGTTTAGAGGAAAGCCCACACACCAGATATAAGTCAGAAAACACATGGCTTCCTGTACAAAGGACCGCCTTGAAAGCAACCGCATTACCACTCCTTTTCCTATTGAGCCCGTGAGTTCTTCAAATCTCCTCAGTACCCACGTTGGAATAAATTAAAATTTTAAAATTAAACCTTTCGTAAGGGGCAATTTTTGATGTACCATTGTGCGAATTTAATATGGTTTCCAACTTTTAAGAGAAACCACGTCATTTTTTTCCAAGAGTCGAAAGTAACTGGTTAGAAGAACGGAACCTGAATAGAAAAATGAAAGAAACGGGTGGGATGAAGAACTGGGCCGTGACCGAAGGTAGGGCGTTGGATGACTATACGCCTAGGACAGGAAGGTTAGAAAGGTAAATGCGTTCAATTACATTTATCCAACTTTCGATTCAAATAAGAAAAATATCTTGAAAAAAAATTGCACAAGTATGAAGACAAAAGTCTAATAAACAAAACTTTTATATAAACAGGTTTTTTGGTGTACGGTTAAAACTGATCACAACATATTGTTCACCATCATTCCCTAAATGCAAAAAAGACA